AACTATATATTATTAGAGTTAAAGGAGTTAGTGAAGTATATACCTGTATATTAGCTTGGTAAGGTCATTGCTGCCAATAAATATTTAAGTTTCTTAATGATAGTAGCTGAGTTAACATAGTGACTCGTTGGACCGGTTACCTGTTGGTAATCCTAACAACCTTGACCTGTTATTTTACTTATAGTCAAGTTGTAATTTGTCACTTGGAGGTCTGTCGTCTGTTATCTTACATTTGCCTGTGAATCAAATGAACGATACGCCGTGGCGTTGTAGGCTTTCCCATTCCTTTTCTCGTACCATCCTTCAGGGCCACATCGCCATTATTTCCATTTGGTTTGTATTATAGGAGTTTCTGCTTCATACACTTTCCTTTCTGATATATTCCCTTTAGGAATGCAATGTTGTTATTGCATGCTGTTGTGATTTGTGTTCTTGTTTCATTCCTAAAGATGTTTCTTAGTTTGTGATATCTTGGGCAGGCGATAAAAACATGGTTAACTTCTGGTTTAGGGCAGTGTACGCAGTTAGTGCCCTTGGTTATGTCATGTGATATGTGTTTGCCAAGTCTCTTCGCTAGCAGAGTTTTTCCTGCTTTAATTCTGTTGATCAGTTTCTGGGTAGTGTGCGAAGTGATACTTGGAATTTTGCTTCCTGTAAGCTGTTTCTTAAATATTGAATAGTTTTCGCCCTTTGTTACACTCCTATTCTTGTCGCCACTTGAAATGAATTTCATTCCTGATATGGCTGTCGATTCATGGTAAAATAAAAAGTAGGTCAATCGGTTGTGGGTTATTTCATTTTTCCTTTGCCTTTAGGTCTACCTTTTCATTTCCGGATAGATTAATATGTGAAAGGATCCAAATGAATTCGACTGCTTGTTTGTTGATCTCGACTGGTTTTTTAGCAGCATGGCATTTCTAAGAATGTTGTCTCTACTAGTCGAATGTGCATGGCATTTCTAAGAATGTTGTCTCTACTAGTCGAATTTCCTGCTTCAGTTAATCTTAGGACGTATACTGAGTTCGTGATGATTAATTCTTTGTTGTGTTTTCGTTTTCCATCAAAATGGAGTGCTTCACTAATGGCCCAAAATTCTGCTGTGTATATTCAGCACCCATCTGGTAGTCTTCAAAGTAGTTCAATGTTTCTCTGAGATAACTACTGCAGCTGCTGTTTTATTCAGTCCTGAGGATTTAGATCCATCCGACTAGATTTTAGTATGGTTTTTGGTATTTGTTTTATAATATTAACTTGATCTCTGTTGTTATTATATTGGGGGAGGGTCGTGCTTTGATCCGAAGGTTAGTGCATATAATTTAATTTTGGGGACCTGGGTGACTGTAGATTCCTAGCATAATATAGTATAGGTCAGTCGGTTGTGGGTACCTTGTTGGCTCAGCTAGTATGTTGGTGAGGTTCAATTCTTTCGTTAATTAATGTATTATATTCACTCCTAGTAGCTTAGGTACCAGTTTCTGGTGAAAATGTTTCTTGCATTTCTCGGATATCGTTCTAGTTGGATGTGATTTATCGTGGACTAGACTAGACTAGACTTGGATTAACGTCGCATACACACATTCGTGCAAGCGCTACAGGTTTATTCTCATATTGTGGAATATTCAATTAGTCGTACTGGAAGTCACTCTTCCTTACGCATCTATGCCTACATAATATACTTCTAAATTATGTCGACATTCTGGGCAATCAAGCCCAGTGTTACTAATTTGACACGAGTGGGAATCGTACCAGCACACACTTGTTGCAATTCTGTATCTTGTATTAATATGAACTTGCCTGAAATAGCCACAATAATAAGGTCTCAGTGACGAATTTAGCTGCGACCATGTTATATTTTTCTATTTGTTAATTTAGAACGGTGAATATAAGGATCTCGTGGGGGGGGGGAATTGTAAAAGTAAATGCGTTTAGCTCAGTTAAGTAGAAGAATGCAACCCATGACTTCTGAATGGACTGCCGGTCAATTGGGTCTAGTTTAAACTCCTTTACAAAAGTGTTGATATGTTGGATGTCAAATCTATATCATTTTTATTCATAACCAATTGCACATTGCAATAAGTATTTTAGTGAAGAAATCATATTCATGCTACCATTCATCTTAAAGTAGCAATCAGATTAAAACTGACATCTACTTGTATTAAGATCTGACAATGCTTCATGTTCTAGTGAGATTTGAAATTATAAGTTCACTTAATTTTAATGAACTACTAATAGAGCGTTCATATTTCTCTTTAGTGAACGCTGTTTTGAGCGATATTTTTCACTCCATATAAGTAAAAGCTGCAATTTGATTGATAAATTTTAAGGTCAACATCACATGACCTCATATTAGTGTCTTACTGAGAGGAGTAATGCTAAGAAAGTTTTCGAGAGGGCTATTGTAATTGCCAGGCTGGAGGTCAATGGTGCACCGTTTCCTTTAAGAACGAGCACAAGACTCGAACCCACTCAGGCAGATTTGAGATGTCAATCATTTGAAACGCGTTAGTGCACTATGCCACCAGTTCAAAACAGTAGCTATAACAAATTTTCAACAATGCTGTCCATATTCAATGTCTTCATGACAGCCATGCAGGAAGTGCTGATTATGGTGGTTGTCAAACATGCGCCGTTTTCATTTAGGGCCAACTGCACATCAGAAATCATCTTTTGTAACAATCCCCATATCAATAAGACACCATCTCTAGGAAAAGTAGTAAAAACAGGATTTTCAAGATGGCAGCCACGTAATAGTAATATGGGACGATATAGCGACAGTGGGACTTATTGAAAATCAGCCTGGGCCACTTTGGCGACACGATGTTTGGCGACAAAAAATATCAGCCTGGGACCGTATAGCGACAATGGGAATTTTGTATTAGTACATTGGGACTCTATAGAAACAAGAGGTATGGTACAGATAAGGTGACGTCACGGAGTGGACTCATAACTCTGTAGCAAGGAGCTAACATAATTACACATACATAGCTACTACTACTGCTACTGTAGGGAGGGACAATAGACACATAGACATAGGATCCATATGAAAACAAAACAACTCTTTTGGAGGCATGGGTTCTTCTAATTTCTTTTCTTCCTCCACCAGCTTTTTATCTTTTGTCCTCTTTTCATTCTCCTGTTTTTCCTTCTCCTCTTCTTTCTGTTTCTTCCTCTTTTCATTTTCACTGCCATCTCACCTCTGTCTGTGTGGGTTCGAGTCTAAGATTCGGTGAATAGACATATGTGACAGAGCTTGCCAGTAGCTTCTCGTGGGACAGTGGTTCTTTCCGGGGATTTCCCGTTTTCTTCCTCCACATGAAGGCTCAACACGGGGCTAAGCGCCCACTAAAAGGGACTGCCGCCCATCCTGGGGCTGCAAACATTCGCAGAATGTCAAGGAATGCAATACGCTGACTAGAATACCTAGTCAGTCAGTCAGTTATTCACGCCAGTTAACACTGAATAGTCAGACATGACCGGTAACTATGAACGAATGCTCAGTTTGCAGGAGGTGGTGGGCAAACTAGCTATGGTATAGGAACTGTTAGTCAGAATGCAGTTTGTGGCATATAGTCCCCAAAGACTAAGCATGGAGATAAACAATTTAAAGAAAATGAAGATCTTAAATGAAATGATAATAGAAAAGGAAAATGTAGAAGACAAACTGAGGATAGAAAAGTGGAGTGAACAGATAGAAAAAGAATAAAAAGAAAAGAGGAAGAAACAAAGAGAGAAGGAAAAACAGGAGAAGGAAATGAATGAAAAGAAGACCAAAAAAGTAGGACAAAAAATAAAAAAGGTGGTGTAGGAAGAGAAGCAATTAGAAGAACCCGAATGCCCTTTTCAGGGCCACTTTCTATGCCTCGAAAAGTTTTTTTTTTTCAATTCTATGTGTTCTATGTTTATATGTCTAGTGTATGTGCCCTCCTTACAGTGGTAGTAGTAATAGCTATGTGTGCATGTATATTTAGGTCGGCTCCGTGCTACAGTGTTATTAGTGTCTAGTACCATGACTTCACCTTACCTGTACCATTTACCTTGTCGCTATACAGTCCCAAGCATAATACAAAATTTCATTTGTCGCTACTTGGTCCCAGGCCGATTCTTTTGACACCAAATATCGGGTCACCAATGTGGCCCAGGCTGGTTTTTAATAAGTCCCATTGTCGATATATCGTCCCCTATTACTACTCACCTTGGAGGTCTGACACACAGTTCTTTTACTTAAGGCTAAACCACATATTACAGGAAGTAATTAAATCAGACCATCCATTCTGGTTGTTGTTGTTGTTGTTGTTGTTGTTGTTGTGGGTTTAACGCCATTTTTCAGCACAGGAAAGGCTATACATGGCGGCCAGTATTAATGGTGGAGGAAGAAACCGGGAAATCACCGGAAAGAACCACCGATCCACGAGAAGCTACTGGCAAGCTCTCTCACATATCCACATTCGCCGAATCTTAGACTCGAACCCACGCAGATAGAGGTGAGATGGCAGTGATCCGTAACGGACAGCGCTTTAGACCACTCGGCTACTCGGGGCCCCACCATCCATTCTGGAGGAATAGTGTCAACAAAAAGTTTTGTGATCACCGCCGTGAAAGCCACATTGGATATTTAAGGGATACCATTATCAAATAAGATTAAATTGACTCTGGGATTAATGTGTGAAAAGTTTGAAACACATACTCCCAATAGGAGTTGTAGCAATAACAAAATTTTACTAATGAACGCCAGCTGGACAAACTAAATGACATCGCATATGTGCTTGGACCAGTAGAACTAAAAACTGAAGAGTGACACGAGTGAAAATTATAGGCATAGCCATTACAAACCTATGATTTCGGGGGGAAAAATGCACCCAAATGGTACTAAACGCTGCCTGGCTAGGGGCTCAGCGTTTAGAGGTTAGTGTTAGGACAGGTCAGCCTGGTATCAGGATAACGAGACTGGTTGGGAAATACAGCCATGCAGCTTTTAGTACCATTTTTATAACCCTTTGGTATGACTTAGCCTGGGTTTGAAACTGCGACCTCCAACATCAGAGGCGGGCGCTCTAACCACTAGGCCACCGGAGCAGTCCCATGTGAGATTCAAAAATATATAAAAATTTACATAACAAAACACTATATAATTAAAAGCAGCCACCTCTGGAATGTGAGAATACACATCTACAAACATGGCTACCCAATATAGGTTTCTTTCCGCAGTAAAATGGATCAGGTCTTTGAAAAACGTATGATTGCACAAAAAATTATTCTGAAGACAGAAAGTTAGACTGCAGTGGGAGTAATAAATGCAATTAACAATGTACAAGATAACAAGGATTTTATTTGTATTTCTCAAGCAAAACGTATCACACTTATCCATACACAACATTAACCTAACTGGCAGACGCCTTACACCAATATCTGCCACTGAATAATTCACCACAAGATTAGGGTATATTCAACTAAATGATTTCATCGACAGTGCCAACATGAGAAATCCAGATCTGTGGTGACAGATCTGGGACCATCATGTTGATTCAAGTTCGTTCATACAACAAACAACATATTCTGCCTGGGCATTATGACCAGGCTCTTCTCTGTTGGCTTGATTTCATCTACAGAACAGTACAAAATCTGATTAGCAAGGGTATTATGTAACAGCGGATCTGGATAGAATTAACTTTGAATCTATCAAATTGACTTCATTTTATCCAGCGAGCAAACTTCATAAACCTCAATCCAATAGGCCTTTTTTGATCACAGATCAGGGCCAACTCTGCTGACTTTATTTCATTGCTAAAGTGAACACCGAACACGCTGTTCTGCTAGGTCATCTTGGATCTACTGTCTAAAAATGATGGCTGATACCACACAAATTTTATGACATATCCTGCCACTGCTAAATTTTGATTTGCTAATTACCATTAATCAATGAGGTATTTAATGTACTAAAAGATGCATCAATGACGTGTGACGATGTGAAGTATGAATATCAGTGTAATAAACATTACAAATAGCCAGCTACTACAGCAAAAACAAAATTGCTTTTAATGTTGCAACATGCTGAATAATGGACATTATGTAACAATGAAGAATCAGCTCAAACAGAAACAAAAGAAAGTTTAACAAATACAAAAATAAATTTTTTAATACCCTGCAGAATAAATAAAGCCCTGGACAAAAATTATTTAAAACATTTGAGATGTAAAATGCTTTTTTAATGTATCAGATTACATTACTATTTAAATTTCACAAGTAATGGTAACCATTTAATTGGATGGTGTGCTCACACACAGTTTGGCCATTCATGATTTGGTTCATGTGACTGTACAAGGTGATCACAAAAATTGAATCCCAGACAAAATACTTGAAAATGAGAAACCATACTTTTAATTCTTTTGAAAAAAATGACATTTGATGAATATAGAAGCATAACATTTTGAGATGTTTCTAAAATCAAGATAATTCTATCCTTAATCCGATTAATGTCATTTTAAAAATTCTAAATAAAATCTTAGGAGTGAAACTTTCAATTATTTGAGTTTCATGATGACAGGTAAGGTTTAATCTGGAGCTTTTAGATCAGGATTAAAAGTCTTGAACTGTCAATGTTTAGTTACTGACTGCCAGCTTTGTTTAGTTTTCAACCTTATTCAATATAACAAATAAAGGTCCTGAACATTTCTCTGTAAATTAGATCCAAAGCTGTATGTTTAGATACAAGATCTGAAACAAAAACATACTGCTTTATAAGAAGTTCCACAATTGTATTTCCAAAGAGCTTAGAAGTAAAAGTTCCTGTATCGAGGGCCCCATAGGTTTTAATCATAGAATCTCTGGATTCATATTAGGTCTACACACATGCTGTTTCTGAAGAAATGCCATCCTGGTTGTCCACTTGCAAAGTATTAAAATGAGCTCTACTGCCAGGGACAAAATTCTTCTAGTTTCACAAAATGAAGTCTAATTTGGTTTGTTCTGTTAATTTTACAGTCATTAAACTGCATTCTCATCAAAACTTCATTCATTTTTCTCCAATATTCATAAAAATACATGTCTCTAACAATATTGGGTAAAGTTTTATTTTGCCATTACTAAACAATATTTTAAGTAATGGTAAAAAACAATGAATATAGAAAGCCAGTATATGACATAAATCTGTTTCCACTGAAGCCACTGTATTAACAACACATATACCAGGTAGTTCAACAATGTGACCATTATGAACACGATATAAATAATTTCCACCTGTTGCATCTAATAAATTCATCAGTGTGAACACAATTAAATAGACTATACCATATTTACAGGTACAGTCTATGATGTTACTCATTTTCTCAAAATCTCTTCCCCAATTTAAGATTTTAACATTGCTCTCAGTGCTTGAATAGGGATTGAAAATGAATTTTTCATCGAACATTCAGCAGGTATCACTGACTAAAATAATCATATGTCTTAAATTCTTTTTCTAAGATGAATGCTTTCTCTGAGGAAATAATTTCCTCAAATTTCTAAATATTTACCCAATTCTTTCTCTAAAATATAAAAAGGTTTCCATATTCCCAGTTTTAAAACTAAAAGGTGACTGAGCATCCTTCTTACAATCATTACTTCTAAAATAAATACATTGACTGAAGAATCATATGCAAGATAATGTAAAATCTTGAGGAGAAATATGGAGACATTTTGTAAAACTGGGCTTGTTCTTAATATAATAATCCTCCACTTACAGAATAGATCCCGGCACTTACTGGGGGGGGGATCTCTGAAAATTATATACAGCTAGAATCAATTTTTTTGATGAAAAAGTTTGTTTCAAGCCATTTTGTCAGAGTAATAAATCTATTGTTGTAAGATCATATTTTTATCTTGTACAGGTTACCACCTTTCTCTTTATGGTGCCAGAAACACTTTGTACAAATATGTTGGAAATATGGATGTTAATTTAGATATCATCATAATTAATATTGAAATCTAATGCATATTTGTCTACATTTTAAAACTCGTTTTTCAAAAATTAAAAAATAATACATTCCGTTTACTTGTTTCCAGTAAAGTAAATATTCCAAGAATGACAATGATTCTGTAAAGAACAATATATAAAGGAAATGTGCCTGTCCATTCATGGAAATTGTTGTTGAAGTTGGATATGGATAATACCTTAAAAATATCAAATTTACCAATACAAAATCTGCACCCATCAAGTTTTAGTTGTAAAAATGAAATATACCATCCATGGTAATAAATGTGTTGCAATGAGAGTTCACTGTTCTAAGTGACAATAAATAAATTCCCATATTCAAAAAGATTCCCATTAAATTCAACAGCAAAAGATACAGTTGTAAAAAACAAAGCTGCAAAAACGACGTGAATGCAGAATATGACTAAATGAAATGTCATATAACAAAAAATCCCACAAGTTTCATAGTGAATCACATGTTTCTAAAAAGATACAAAAAAATCCCCATTCTGAATATTATACTGCTTGTGACCATAAATGAGTTCAAGCATGAATCCCATAAACATCAAAAGTACAATTTACACTCCCTTGTAAGTCGGGTCAGACTGCAGACAATAAATAATTTCCGAATGATGTCATCAGCCACCATATTTGTGGACAGCCGGCAGATTTACTGTTACTTTATATAGTGTTAGGAAGTTGAAATACATTCACTGAATCTCAAGATACCTTCATGAAAATTACATATAAATGGAACAAAATCAATCTTTCTGTTAAGATCTATATCTGAGATTTATAAGCTGACTTTCCTTCAGTGTGCCTGTTAAAAATGGTAAATTTTGGTGATCGCATATAGCAGAAACTGCCATGGTGCCCATCATCCAGGTAAAATGGGTAGAATATCGTCAGGAAGCATCTATACATATCTGATTTGCATTTGAACACTGCACCAGCAGATCAGTCATTGCCGTTTGTTCTACTGATTACCCCAAACAAACTGAATAGAATAGCACTCCATACAACAGCAGATCTGGTAAATGGAAGGACTTACAAGCAAGTACATCTGGTAACTATCATTTTATTGTGAATAATTCATGGAAATTAAAAATGCAAGTTAAAATTATGTATAATGATGTCCAATTTATTCATGCATAAAGTCCTGGCGATGCACATCAGTAGCATGACTCAAACTACCCATGCTTCACAACAAATTGTATCTGATGAAGATTTCAGTAGATGTCAATCATATATGAAGTTTATACGACTTTTGAAACTTTAAACTAATTTATGGCCACATATTACAGTAAATTCAATACTTAAGATTATATAAAAGTAAAGTCCAAAACATATGTAATTCAAATGCTGTGAATGCACAGCCATAGACATATCAACAAAGATGTCTAATTATTCTGTCTCAGTATATCAAACACCTCAAAATGCAAACAATGTTAACTTTTGCAAGTGAAATATCACAGAAAAATAATACATGAATATACATTGAGGAAAACAGTGTATCTACAATGTCAAAACTAAAATGTTTATGGTAAAATAGGTTGCTTCCAGATGTAATGGGCCATAACTCTAAATATCATTTCAGATAAAAAAAAATAATAAATGATCCAAACCTCAATCTTACACAAAACAAAATAAAGTCCTTACACTAATTTTGATCTTATTCTATCTTTTCATGCTAAAGTTACATCTGGTCATGCTAAATATACTGATTATACATCAATTTTTTTTTTATTTCAGACCAAAATGTGAAACATGAAAATGCAACAGCCTGACATACAATCCTTGATTCATCAGTTATCACTGAATATTTAACAAACTGTCAATTCAGATACAGAGAAGAAAGACTATCTTCATTGGTTTTGAAAGTTATACCCATACATAGATACGGGATTCTAATTTTTATTTGCCCCTACTGTGTTTTTTATTTGCCCTTGGTAAAGTGTAATGAAAAAATGAGCAATACAAGCTGAGGACACATGGACACATAGATGAACATTACCATAACAAAATATGGCTAATTAAAGATGGTCCCTTGGGATAGACCCAGATACAAATATGGACATTGAGGCCTAATTAAATCTGATTATTCAGCCATTCATCTACCTGGATTATTCAGT